TAATTCAGTTTTCTGCTATTTCCAAAGATAGACAACAAGTTGTAGATAGATTTATCAAGATTACTAATGTCACTGAGACAAAAAAAAACCAAATCGTCAGCAGACTGACCGTTACTGGTCAGAAAAAAGTCATGAAGTGAAAGAAAAAGCTGGTATGTTTTTCTAGACCGTACCACTGATAAATCAGTGGTGAACTAGTGGTGTTTTCTAGAATCAAGTATTTCCGAAAGCTTTTTGACTCAACCTCATGTTTTAGGCCTCACGGGACATTTTTTTACACAGATCAGGTCCATTGTTTTTGATTTTTCGTTGAAATTCTTAATTCTGAGTTAGATATGCCGAAAAATCTCTGAGGTACTATTGCTGATCCTTTGAATCTATTCAACAAAAAATGTTTGAGTCTGGGCATAATAATTAGTGAGAAATTTTCAAAAAATGCTTCCTGTTTTGGCCTAGGCTAATTATGACCAAAACTTTTTTGGCCGTTTGAAAATTGGTCTGTTTTTTTTTAAAAACGCCAAACGAACTGGTCTTTTCGCTTTTAAATATTTTGTTTTCCTCAGTTTCAACGCTTTTTTAATTTTACCTATCGGAAAACCAAGAAATGTTTTATTGTTCTGTTTGAAATCCCCGCAGGAATTTTCATGGAAATTGCAAAACGGTACTTTTGAAACAAGGGCAATTTTTCAATGGGCCATAACCTTTTAGCTATTAATTATTAACCAGTCCGCTCTAAAAACGAACTTCGGCATGCACACATACATAAATATACAAAGGCACACACATACATACAGACACACACATACAAACATACATGGATAATACATACACAATGAATGAATGCGCCAGTGGATGAATAAGGCTGTTGTATTTTTTTTATGGTTCGATTTCTTTTATCTGTCTATGAAAAATGCATAGGGTTAAAACTCGGGTTACTAGTTATTCTGTAGTTGTAGTACATCAAGCATTTGTTTCACTGTGAAGCCAGAAATGTTGCGAAAACCCGCGAAAAGCCGGCAAAAAATGGAAAAAAATTTGCTTTGCTCGTGGTAGCAAAAGCAGCTAGACGTTGTATGTTTGGACTTCATAGTTACGGGCTCCAAATTCTAAGTATGAAACATTAGGCACGGTAGGGGCAGCAAGTTCATAACGATTTCAAGCAGCTGAAGTTAGTAGAAATGGCAGTTAGAGAAAATGAAAATGAAAACAATTTTTTGTAGTCCTTAGTGCATTCGACTTTTCACACTTCACAGTTTTTAAAAGAGCACTAATTTTTTTTCTGTCAATCTCTCTTCTTCAATGTTTCGAAACGTCAAAAATGCGAAAAAATAGCTTTGACTTTTGTTCTGTACCCTATAACCTCATCTTTTCCTCTCACAGCTTAGTAATTTAAAGAATTTTTTTCATCCGCCACATTTTTATGCGTTTTTGCTGTGCAGCGCTATAGTGCTGCTACAGCCAGCAAAAACGCACATTGTTGAGAGGCTGTCTGTGTGTGTTCGCAAAGCGAGTGCATTTTGTCACCCACTTTTAACTCGACAACCAGAAAAGCTTGGGGGCTGAAACTTCGGATATAAGTTCCTACCCCGTGTGTCATCCTTCCGTTTTGGGATCCCCCCCTACGCGCCTAAACCCCGCGCACGAGACCCCCAGAGGAATTTGTTGGCGGGAAACGATTTCGCGAACCAGGCAAGGTAGAAGGCTGAAG